AGGAAACTCAAGGGCCAATGGCGCCACTAATGGGGATACATCAAACAACAAGCAGTCACTGATGGAGCCCTCTGACAAGGAGCTCTATGGCGGAAACACTGGCGACTATGTCAACTCCATCGCCGTCACTGACCAAGACGACGACATGGACGATGTCCAACTCAATGGCCGGAGCCTCGTTGGACAATACACAGCATCCAAGGAGATGATGAACGAGTTCGCGCACGGCGACGCGGGTGAGGCCGATATCCTCGACAGCCGCGAGAAGCAGGCCCAGATCGCATCACGTGAAACCGACTACCAACGGAGACGATTCGACCGCGCACTCTCGCCGACACGTGCTGATCCCTTTGCAAAGGACGGAGAGGATGGCGGCCAGTCGTACAAGGACGTCATGAAGCAGCGCGAGTTGGAGCGCGAGGAGGCGCGTGTCAAGAAACTGATTGAAGATAAGGAAAATTCTGGAGGTAGCGAGGTCCTTGATCACAAACCTACGCTTAAAGACGATGAATCCACCACAGTCGACGGTGACAAAACCCCTCCGATGAAGAAGACTCGCAAGCGGAGACGATGGGACGAAGTCGCAGACGACGAAACTCCCGCCACCAAGCAAGAAGCCAAGGAAGAAGGGGCTGAGCCCAAGAAACGCTCGCGATGGTCGCCCGCACCAGAAGATACAAAGGAAGCTGCTGCACCAGCCCGATCACGTTGGGATACCACTGCTGTAGCCCCTGCAGCTACTGCAACGCCTGCTCCCGCCGCGAACGGTGCACACCCAATCGCTCCAACCTTTGCCTTTGGCACTGATATTTCGAGCCGCAATGCCCCGCTGTCCGATGAGCAGCTCGACATGATGCTCCCCGGTGAAGCCGAAGGCTACAAGGTCCTCGAGCCACCACCAGGCTATGAGCCGGTACGACGACCAGTAGGTATGCCGGCTCTGCCGACCGGATACCAGGGTTTCTTGATTCCAGAAGTAGATAACAGCTTGGCTGCCATGGGCAAGCAACTGCCAACAGAAATCCCGGGTGTTGGAGATTTGCAGTTTTTCAAGAATGAGGACATGAAATACTTTGGAAAACTAACAGACGGTGCCGACGAGAACGAGATGACAGTAGAGGAGCTGAAGGAGCGCAAGATCATGCGACTGCTCCTGAAAGTCAAGAACGGAACGCCACCCATGCGAAAGACTGCGCTTCGACAGCTTACAGACAATGCTAGGCAGTTTGGAGCCGGAGCTCTGTTCAATCAGATTCTGCCACTTCTGATGGAACGGACACTGGAAGACCAAGAACGACATTTGCTTGTAAAGGTCATTGACCGTGTCCTGTACAAGCTCGATGATCTCGTTCGTCCCTACGTCCACAAGATTCTTGTCGTCATTGAACCCCTTCTCATCGACCAAGACTACTATGCACGTGTCGAAGGTCGTGAGATTATCTCTAACCTTGCAAAGGCTGCTGGTCTTGCTCACATGATCAGTACGATGCGCCCTGATCTGGACCACCAAGACGAATACGTCCGAAACACCACCGCTCGCGCCTTTGCCGTTGTTGCGTCTGCTCTTGGTATACCCGCCCTCCTTCCCTTTCTTCGAGCCGTTTGTCGATCCAAGAAGTCATGGCACGCCCGCCATACTGGTGTGAAGATTATCCAACAGATTCCTATTCTAATGGGTTGCGCTATTCTGCCTCATCTGAAGGGACTTGTCGACTGTATTGGCGAGAACCTGAACGATGAGCAGCCCAAGGTCCGTATGGTTACAGCTCTAGCCCTTGCAGCACTCGCCGAAGCTGCCAGCCCGTATGGTATCGAATCTTTCGACGAGATTCTCAATCCTCTCTGGACTGGCGCTCGCCGCCAGCGTGGCAAGGCCCTCGCGTCTTTCTTGAAGGCCGTGGGTTACGTTATCCCACTCATGGACGAGGAATACTCCAACTACTACACCAGTCAGATCATGGAGATTGTTATTCGCGAGTTCCAATCGCCTGACGAGGAAATGAAGAAGGTTGTGTTGAAAGTAGTTTCTCAGTGCTCAAACACAGCCGGTGTTACTCCAGTATACCTCAAGGATAACGTCTTGCCCGAGTTCTTCAAGCATTTCTGGGTACGACGTATGGCTCTCGACAAGCGTAACTACCGCCAAGTAGTGGACACGACGGTTGACCTGGCACAAAAGGCCGGTGTTTCTGAAATTGTAGGCCGCATTGTGAACAACATGAAGGATGAGAACGAAGCATATCGCAAGATGACTGTTGAAACTGTCGATAAGGTCATCAGTACTTTGGGTGCTCATGATGTTGACCAGCGTCTCGAAGAGCAGCTCATTGACGGTGTGCTTGTCGCCTTCCAGGACCAGACCATTGAAGATCCCATTGTCATCGATGGTTTCGCTACTGTTGTCAACGCCCTAGGCGAGCGGACGAAGACCTATCTTCCACAAATTGTTGCGACGGTCCTTGCTAGGCTCAACAACAAGTCTGCCACTGTTCGTCAACAAGCTGCAGACCTCATCTCACGTATTACCTTTGTCATGCAAAAGTGTGACGAGGATCCACAGCTTATTAAGCTTGCACAGGCTTTGTACGAATACCTTGGTGAAGAATACCCAGAGGTTCTTGGTTCTATCCTTGGTGCTCTTCGCGCTATTGTCACAGTCGTTGGTCTCCATGCAATGCAGCCTCCCATCAAAGATCTCCTGCCCCGGCTTACACCAATTCTTCGTAATCGACACGAAAAGGTGCAGGAAAACACTATCGATCTTGTAGGACGTATTGCCGACCGAGGTGCAAACTACGTCAACCCTCGTGAATGGATGCGAATCTGCTTCGAACTCCTAGACATGCTCAAGGCGCACAAGAAGGGCATCCGTCGTGCTGCCAACAACACGTTTGGTTACATTGCCAAGGCTATCGGTCCTCAGGATGTGTTGGCCACCCTTCTTGGTAATCTTCGAGTCCAGGAGCGTCAGTCTCGTGTCTGCACAGCTGTCGCTATTGGTATTGTTGCTGAGACTTGCGCGCCGTTCACTGTCCTTCCCGCACTGATGAACGAATACCGTGTACCAGAGCTTAACGTACAGAACGGTGTACTCAAGTCACTGTCTTTCATGTTCGAGTACATTGGCGAGATGGCCAAGGATTATGTCTATGCCATCACACCACTCTTGGAAGATGCTCTAATCGACCGAGACCAAGTGCATCGCCAGACTGCCGCTTCCGTGGTCAAGCACGTCGCTCTGGGTTGTGTTGGTCTTGACTGCGAAGACGCTATGATCCACTTGCTCAATCTTCTCTGGCCCAACCTTTTCGAGACTAGTCCTCACGTCATTGATAGGATCATCGAAGCCATCGAGGGCGTCCGCAATGCAATCGGCACTCCGCTTGTCATGAATTACGTATGGGCCGGTTTGTTCCATCCAGCTCGCAAAGTCCGACAGCCGTATTGGCGCATCTACAACGACGCATACGTTCAGAATGCTGATGCCATGGTCCCTGCATACCCGGCTTTTGAGGAAGACCAGGTCAAGAGACATGAACTGGACATTTTCATCTAAACGTAAGGCTCCCAATACCTCATTTTTTTTGATTGTTTTCCCCAGTGTCACCATTCTGGGGTCGCGTTGCTTTTCCATCCAGCGATCCGGCATAAATTTATGGGATCAAGCAGTCGTGGGTCAGTGTCCTTGTGGTTCGGGCTTATGTTGCTTATCATGTATATCACAGTAGGGTTAGATCGGAGTATTGCGGCGTTGAAGTACGCTAGGGATTAAGGGCTTCTGAGCTGCCACCGGGCCACTTTCATAGGACCACTTTATGGTAACAAAAATAATCTGCACCCACTTTCTAAGCTGATCACCTTTAGGTTTCGTGAAGTCGTCCTGTCTTATTCTTTCCTTGTATCAAGGTATGTTGTTGTTTGTTGTTGCACTGTGCGCTGAGCTATCCAAAGGCGATTTGAATGCGCCGTTCAGTTTTACGAAAATCCCATATTCACTTGCCCCATTTACACGGAGCAGACCAGGATAAGTATGCAGGTTTCTGCTTTGCCTTGCCAATCTTTTTATTGAACACGGTGCCTTGATTGAGTGGCTCTTGCCATACAATCGGTAAGATTTGCGTGACATCACTCCTTCTTGCCCGACACATGATGGCATCGCAACTGTGGGCATAATATTCAAGACCACTATTTGGTCAACACAATGTTCGGGCCCTGTTAACTGTAGTTTGTAAACTAGTTGTCATCGTGCCAGATACTTGAAGTCAGAAGATCTTTCAACACCAAACCAACTATGCTTGCTCCTGATAATTGAAACAAATCTTGTGTCACATGAGGCTTGGTGGTGCTGTTAAAGAAGAACTTTCGCCGACTGTATGATCAATCCAATATGCTTTTGCCATAGTTCAATGCAACCAACCATTAAGACGAAACGAACGGTACAAAAAGCACAACAGCCTAGCCAAACCTTGATTCAACACCGTACGTATGTGACAAACCAGCGCGCTCATTTTCGACACCGAGCCCCGAGCACAACGCGTAACCGAGTGACTCATTCACGCATTGTTACCATAGCGACGTGACACGCACGCGAAGTCAGCTGAGGGGGCTACCCTTTACTCCCTATGCCCCGTGGCGCCATTCCACGCCGTGGATTCGCGAGCAGCGACGCCACAAGGAACGAGGAGATATCCCCCACATCCACCCATTCCCCGACTAGGGGCGGATGTGGGGGACTCTGCACAATGCACGGGTTGCAGATTATGTATGTGTGACTCACCGATTTTGAGTTGTCGTAGCGACGACGGGGATGGCTTCGTGTGGTCTTTTTTTTTCGAGTGGATTGCCTGAAAAGTGAAGGTTCAATGCTTGCTGGTAGACCCATATATATATATCTACAGAACGGGCCAGAGTGCTCAAAAACAGTACAAAACACATTCATCACTAGCATTCCAATTCCTGCTCAGACAACAAAATTAATAATACAATTCAAAACGTCAAAGATGTCTCTCCCCACGCTCCCCTCGCCCTCGGCCCCAACAGCTTGCTACAACGCATCCTGCCACTGTGGCGCCTTCACCTACACGGTGACTGCGTCTCCGCCGCTGTCCGCCGCCGACGCGGTGATAAAGCAGTGCAACTGCAGCATCTGTGCGAGAAACGCGTACATGTTCATCTTCGTGCCGAATGAGCAGGTTGTGTTTGAAAAAGGGGGGTTGGACGAGTTTAAGGTATGTTTTTACCCCATCCCCACCTACCCTTCTTTCTACACATCCATATTTTTTTCTTGGGAGAAAAAGAAGAAGAAAAAAAAGGGAGCCGGAAGAAAGGCGGGGATTGCTGAGGGGGGAGAAAGCGCTGATGGTAGGGTATAGTGTTATTCATTTGCTACGAATAAAGTAGGACATTATTTCTGTGGCACGTGTGGGTCGTCTTGTATGTTGCGGTCGAAAGAGGAGGATTTTATGCCGGGAATTACGGGCATCAATGTGCGCATGTTGCAGGATGTGGATTTGGAAGGGGTGAAGGTGGATTTGCTGGACGGGAAGAGTTTCTAAGGGCTTTGGGGGGTGGGGGCTCTGAAAGGGCATGGGGTGTGACGTTGCTTGGTGACAAGAGTGGGCATTAGCGACTAGGACGGTGGGCTGTGGAGAGGAAATATATGCAAGTTCTAAAGTTTGGTATAAGATGAATAACTTGATTTGTTGAAAAAGGAAAGGGTATCTTTGAAATCTAAAATCATAGGAAATATTATAGCTCGTCGAATGAACGGAGGGGCACGTCGTCCTTGGGAATGCGCTTGGCATTGTCCACTTGGACGATTGGTTTACGTTTAGGTGTTGGTGATCCTATAATTGCTTCCTTTGCAATTTCTGGGATGTCTGCCTTCAAGACTGCATCTCGAGACGCAGAATCCAATCTGGTACTGTGTTGTTCGGCACTGTCCGGGACCGGTCGAGAGGCATGAAAGAGGACTAAAACAAAGAAGACGGCCGCTATGACGCCAACGATACCCCAGAAGATACGTATACAATCTGAACCCATTTGTTAGCTTGACTGAATATATAAGCAATGCCGTGGTATCCATACTGGTATTCTTTGCCTGCCACTCTGCCTCTGACTTGGCTTTGGCGTCGACATGCTCTTTAGCCTGTTCGAGTCGTGCAGTCAGAGCATCTGCCTTTTCTTTTCCTGCTTTGATCCGCTCCTCGAGGCTGATGACTTGCTCTTGCTGTGTCTCGAAATTGTCGAATGCTTCCACTTGACCAGCCACATCCTCTACGAGTTCTGTAGTATCTGCTTCAAAGTTTTGGTGTAGTTCCCTGGTGAGGCCCGACAGCTCGTGCAGTGTACCAATTGTCTGTTGCAACACGGATATCTTCTCGAGGACAGAGTAATATGTATCGTCTAGGCGGCGCGAGATCTTGAGAGACTGGTCCGAGAGGGATTGGAGAGCAGCACGGAGCTCACTATGAGACATTTTAGAACAAGTTTCCTTCCCGACGTGCCATGGGAATGTGGAGTATTTCCAATGACGCAAACTTACCGTTCTCTAGCTTCAACCCTTTTTGCCTCTAGCTCTATATCTGCGGGCCGGAGCGGTCTCTGCGGGGGGATGGTGATGCCCGGTGTGGTTTCCTCCTTTCCGCTTGCACTCCCGTCGGCTTGCCTTGGGGCTACGCTCTGCCTGCGACTATGGCTCGGGCTGGTGTCCCTACTCCCGCGTGCCTGCCTCAGCAGGTCTCCAAAGCTAGCAGGGGGTTGTATCTGGATAGCCGACTGCATGGCTTCCTTGGCGGCATGACGCCGACTCGAGCCATGACGATGATCGCCATCGTGACTGTCGTGGTGGTGACGCGACGACTTGTGCTTGTGCTTGTGTGAATGAGATTGCGACTTCTTGACGGGATCCGACGTCACTCGAGTTTCTGCGCTGGAGCTCCGGAGAGTGGGGCGGAATGCCGTGGGGTCGGCCAGGCCTGCATGTAAGTGCAGCGATCCCTCCATGTCATGGTGGAGGTTGCGAGGGCTAGGAAGCCAGTTGACGATGTGGTTGCGCGGTTGCGCAGTTGCAAGCCTGCCATCCGAGCGTCGCGTATCATTGCAGGGGTTCGTTACGCTAACCCCCGACGGACAATCATGTGAATGGAGACAGAGCAGACAGGCGTCTGGCTCTACTGCCAAGCTTGCAGCTATGGCTCTGCCCTGTCTCTCTTTGGATGGAGAAAATTGGTGCACTGCACGCTGTGATAATCTCTGTCCCCCGACAGCCAGGTTTGCACAGGAAATGGTGGGAGTTGATTGGTAGTTGCTATCCACTTTATGAAACCCAGGGTATCCTTTTTTGCGCCTGCATTTCAAAAAAATCAAGGCTCGTGGCATACTGCCTTTTGAGCTTGGATCGGAAATGACCTATCCATGTTGTATATCGAAACGACAGGGCGGTTGCTCGTGCCAGCTTGTGTTTCTCTGACCTCCTTTGAAGCGGCGTTTTTGGTTGGATTGTGCTGTGTCACGACCCATTTTTCACTGCCCACGCTCATGACTTGAGCATCTTGTTGCGCTTCTCCTTCCTCTTCAGACGCTCGACGCGCCTCTTGTGCATCTTCTCCTCCATCTTGGCAAAGCGTTCACGTTCCTCCTTGGCGGCCCGTTTCGTCTTGATTGCGTCGACTCGTCGCTGTTGCGTTGTCAGCCACAGATGGTACGTAGTTGAGTAATTGCACCGCCTACCTGTCTCTCTGCCTCCTTCTCCTCCTTGAGCTCCTTCTCCTTTGCCTTGACTGCAGCAAGAGCCTTCCTCTCCGCCTGGCGCTTCTCCCAAGATGACTGGTTTGCCCGTGGGCGGAATGGAGCCTTGTTGTCGTGCCATTGCTTGCCTGCGCAGGGAGTTAGATGGTGGCGTGGCGCAAGTGCTCCCAGTGGCGCGCATACCGTTTTTCTTCATGCCCTTGACAGGCACCGTCTCCATGGCGGGAGGCGCCTCTACTACGACGGGTGCAGACATGTTGATGATGGTGCGCAATGCTGAGCCTCAGCGGCGTCTGTCCGTCTGGGCCAAAGAGGTCGACGGTCGCGGCGCAAGAAAAGTTTAGCCGATATCGATAGCGCGGAATGCGTCCAGGGTGGCTTGTGCAGCGACAGGCGGTGATGCTCCCATCAGATCTGATAAGATTAGAAAAAGAAAACGCGCATGCCTCATCCAGCTGTAATGTGCAATGGTCATTTTTTTGTTTGTTGCGCCCGCAGCCGCGTCAGCGGCGTGTCCGGGTCAAAGGGGCGCTGCGCCCTTGATACTTTCTATATATTCCCTCTTCCGACGCCCTGAAGATTTTTTGGAGCTAGGGAAAAGTCTTTCGTGATTGCATCACGTTGGGCGCCAGACTCGTGTAATTGCATTCATCCATAGTCGCACACCACCCACGGCCCGCTGCCTCTTCCCGTCCAACTCTCCTTTGTGCCACTTCACTCCTGACTTTGCTCCACTTGCGATTTTAGTACACTGCTGTCCCACGTCAGCCTTGACATGAGCGCGATTTCATAACACACATCTCCGCGCCTCTCACCGCCCACGACTCTTGGTACCCAACATGCTCCTGCCTCCCACCAGCATCCTTTGACCGTCCTATACAAACTCAAATACACCATACATATTGAAGATTGATGGAAGCACACAAGAGCTCAGTGGCGGTGTTGGCCGGAAGAGAAGGGCTGCCCAATACAATTCTCATGGAAGAGGCACAGCGCCCTGCTGCACCACATGTAACCAGCAGCGGAGAAGAGGCCCTAAAGGACATTCTGTGCGGATCAACGGCCGGAATCGTTGGCAAGTACATCGAGTACCCCTTCGACACGGTCAAGGTCCGTCTGCAGTCACAGCCAGACACAATACCGCTCCGGTACTCTGGGCCGCTAGACTGCTTCAAGAAATCACTACAGCACGATGGGTTTCTGGGAATATATAGAGGTATTAGTGCGCCTCTGGTTGGGGCCGCGGTGGAAAGCAGCACTCTATTCTTCAGCGTGAGTTGCACCTCTTCGAGGCCCAATGTTCCACGCTGACGTGGCCGACAGTATCGTATAGCAGGAGATGCTCTGAAAGCGTCAGGTGTATACCCAGAATTAAAGAGACACCCTGAACGAGACCTGCCCTACTCAGGTATGCTCTGGTGCGGTATGGTCGCTGGAGCAATCACTTCGTTGTTCCTTACTCCCATTGAACTTGTCAAATGCAAGATGCAAGTTCCTGTAGAAAGTCCTGGCACCATGGTTGCTACTCCAACAATTCGAGGGGTCATTGCCTCGATCTATCGCCACCAAGGCCTTTCTGGCTACTGGCACGGTCAGCTGGGAACCTTGATTCGCGAAACAGGAGGCGGTGCGGCATGGTTTGGTGGCTACGAGGGCATGAAGATCATCTTCAAGAGAATCAACGGATCGACCAAAGACGAGGATCTCCGTGTGTGGCAGCGCATGGCCTCTGGTTCTGTTGCTGGTGGCGCATACAACTTTATGTTCTATCCTGCCGACACAATCAAGTCGCGAATGCAGACAGAAGACGTCAAGTACCTGACGGGTGGAAAGTCGAGTTTCACCGCAGTAGGCAAGGCGCTATGGAAACAACACGGCATCAAGGGCATGTATCGTGGGTGTGGTATCACAGTCGCAAGATCGATCCCCAGTTCTGCTTTCATCTTCACTGTGTACGAGGAGTTGAAGAAGCGATGGCCCAGCCGGGGGTCTGAGTAGCACGATATGAACATTTTCGAGCATCCAAGGCGGCTGGACGGTACATATGGGAGCACGAGAGCGAGGCTGCAAGGGCGTTTGTGAGAAAAAAAAGTATAGATTTGAGGCGTCGTCTTAGAGATACCATCATGGTCTTACGCGTAGCTTATAGAGTTATTGTTTTTTTGTATTGTTGAGAATAGTATTAGCCATCAAACACCATTTCCATACACTCTACTATGTGACGACAACCCGCAAAAGCACATGTCAACTGTACCCTGCACGAGCCTTCACATGCCAAAGCAGAATCCTGCGATCTCTGGTCTATTCCGATCGTGGCCTAGTGCCAAACAATGCTCCAACGTGGGGAAACCAGACCGACCGGCAGCGGCAATGTGAGATTGGAGCCGAGGATGCAGATGGCAACGCGATTGTGACCCTTCACCTTCAGGGTACACCCGTGCAAGCATAGCCTCCAGCCCACTTCCCGTCCCAGCCCTACGATGCACGTCTTTCTTCTTCAATAATCACTGTCTGCTTTTCCATCCCCCTTTTCGACGTCTTTGCTGCAGCGTTGCGAATTGCGAAATAGCACGGCGCAACTCGACGTCATTGCAACTGGCGCGCGCCCTGAACCGAGGCACGCTCGCATCGTCAGCTGGCAATCTCTCGCTGGCGTTTTGTCGCAATCGCAGACGAACGTACAAACGCTCTTTGATACCCCTTACTGTCTACACGTGCAGTCGAAGACAGCACATACTCATACCACCGCCGCCATGGACCAACTACACGCTCTCCATGTATGTCGCCCGTCGCTGCGAAACTCGCGCATACACTTCCGTTCCGAGCTTCCCTTTCTGCGAACCTTTTTCGTGGCCGACAACTAACAGGAATGCGAAATCAAATAGGATGCGCTCGAGAAGATTGCTCTGGACCCAAAATACCACGATGTCCTCACACTGGTGAAGGGTGTGAGGAACGGTATCGTGTATGGAAGTAAAGTGCGGTTTCCCCACGCACTCGTGTACGTATCTGTATCCACAAACAGAAGAAAGAACAAGCCAAAAGCTAAACAAACCGTAGAATGATCTTCCTCTTCAGATCCGGAAGGTAAACAAACAACTTCCACATCCTCCTCCTCCTCCTCCCTTGTCCTACCTACACATGGAAAACTAACGTTTACCTTTCCAAAATAGCTTCCGCTCAAAATGCCTCCTCGTCTACAAAGCAACCCGCCAACACGCCCGCAACCTCGGCCTCTTCGCCCTCGTCTACAAAGCCACCATGCTCCTCCTGCGACACACATCGCCCAACGGCAAAGAGCGCCAATACGACTCCTTCCTCGCCGGTCTCCTCGGCGGCTACACCGTCTTCGGCCGCACAATCCACAATTCTGTCTCGCAGCAAATCGTCATCTACGTCGCTGCACGCGTGTGCCTGGCCCTGGCTAAGCTGGCCGTGCAGCCGCGAGATGTCGGTAGTGCAGGCGGGAAACATGCGGCCGTCAAGGGGTGGGAGTTGTTTGGCAATGGCGAGATGAGGCGCGCGCTCGTGCGCAATGGTTGGCCGGCTTTTGCTAGTTTGAGCTGGGCCATGGTTATGTATATTTTCAGGTGGCATCCTGAGAGTGTGCAGAGTAGTCTCAGGAGTAGTATGAGTTATATGTGCGTGTTTCCCCCTTTTTTTTCCTTGTCTTTATTCCTGGGGTTTTTGGGGGGGAAGTTTCTTTTTTTTCCCGCATTTTGCTAACGGTGTGAAATAGTTATGTGCAGTCGGATGAGTGGGATTCTCTACGGACGCTGTTATGGCATAATAAGTAAACAAAAACGGGAAAAAGGAAGAGTGGGGATGGGGGATTTTAAACATGGGAGGTGGGGGTTTCGAAGGAGAGGGGAAAGATACGGATTGTTATTGCATTGTGTAGAGAAGAGAAAGATAGAAAGGAGGACCAAGACGCGAAGTGTAAGCAAGGTAAAAAGCCAAGTAGCCAATGAGAAAAAAAGTTCAAAATTCATACATCTGACTGGATTTCCACGGTGGTACGATCAAGAGTAATGACGACAAAATCACATGACACCATCTCATCCACCCTCAACATCATCTCATCTAAATTCAGCTCATTCCTATTCCAACTCACCTTTGAACTACAACCCGTTGTAAACGCCATAAGTGGTTGTAACAACCTGAAAAAAAGTGAAGCAGCCAATCTCATGTCCGCGCACCCCACGTCATTGGTTTACAAAGTTCCTCTAAACCCATCCTTTTCACCGGCGGAGACGTTTTTACCCCGCTTCGCCTGAAAACGGCGTTCGAAGCGGTGGCCGCCCCCGGTGAGCGGAATGCAATAGGACTAAAAAAAAGAAACGGCCATGGGTGGAAGGGAGGGAAAAGGNGATGGGGGCTGAAATGCGGAGGGCCTTGGCCGGTTACCTTCGGGTACTGCTGCCTACATGTGATGATGTAGTCCCCTTCCCCCCCTTGTCTACGAGGATAATGAAGGCTAGACACGATTGTGCGTATGGCCCGCCCCGGTGTCGGAGCTGAGGATGTGATCAAGTGTTTGAAAGAGGGGAAAGAGAGACAGTGGGATGTCTTTTTTGGCCCTGTTTCGTGACGTCTGTTTGCTGATTCACGCAGCGCAGAGGCGTAGAGATCGTCCAGTGATGGGGTGTCAGAGGACGCTTCCCCTCTGTCGGCGCATGGCTTTAGGCTGGGTGGTGAGGGGAAAACGTCGACGTGTCACTTTATGTGGTGGCGAGTATGATGGGTGAGTCCAAGTTGGGCGGCTAGCGGAGGATAATGGGCTTGTGGGTGGGAAGTTAAAGATGCCATGGTGCGCTGTGGTTGTGATCGTAGGTTTACTCTTCCACCAAGTCGAAATCTTGTCTGTAATATTAGCTTGTACCATTTGAAAGCGATTGCTGTCTTGTCCTGTCTTGCGGCTCTTTGTAAGCGTCATTGCATATAGACCTTGTTGCCATATACATAGCCTTGTAGGTAGGTCGTGTCCCTTCGAGTAGACGACGCCTCAGAGGGCGACGGCTGCTTTAATGCTCCGGTTAATTCCCATGCTGACGCTGACATAGCCTGAGTCCCCGGCTTTCGCCCTCGGGAATCATCCTCGCAATGTACAACCACAATGATGGCAATGATTCGCCTATTCAGCCAAACATAAGCACCTTGTCTCCGGAAAGACCACCTCAGTTGAAGGCGAGGAACTGCAACTATGACTGCGGATACGGCTGCACGAAGGAGAGCGACGACGAGGGTGGCGGGGCCGAGATGGATGGGCAAACGGTGGTCGGCGAGGAGGAAAACGTGCATTCAGATGCAGATGAAAGCAGTGGAGAGTCTGAAGATCTCAGCGGGTCCGAGGAATCGATGCCGGACTCTGGCGCATCCGTTTCGGACGGTACGCGCGGCGAGGTTTCGTCTTCGCTGGAGACTGGCGATATGTCTACGAGTATGGTGGTTGAGGCATCTTCGTCGGGGGACCGCAGTCCAGTAATTCCTGCGAGTGCCCCCGCTGGCAGCTTGTCGCCCAACCCAGGAAATAGTATACATTTGATAGGCCTCGTGCGGGTTCCGTCTCCCTTGCCGATGAGGTACTACTTTCTACAAACACCCTTGCGCCTCAGTCCGCAGTTTGAGCATTGTAGAGGGGATCCGGCATCGCATCTCGTCGCTCCGGATCGTATTCGGTTGTCATCCTTGATGGAGCAGTTGGTGAGAGAGTATGCGCCTGCTTACAGAAACATCTCACCGCCTCGATTCCGAGCATGTTAGCAGGCCATGGCCGGGTAGTATTTGATGTCCCAGGACGTTTGTTATTCGAGTTTGTTGTTGCATTGGAGTGAGGGCGCGCACTTTGCTTGTTTCGGGAATTAGCTAGCCGCATCGTCTGCACGCTTGGGCCGGAGCTAGGTTTGATATTGCCTGTGTTTCTTAGTTGAAATTGATACCCAAATTCACCCGTGTATGCATGTAGAAGGGAAAGTGGGCACGTGATGTCGTGTGCAACAAGGTCAGGTACTGAGGAGGCAGGTATTGCAATTGCATGCTGTGCTAATGAAAAGGAGAGACACCCACGTCGTCGATGGGTGAGGCGCAATGGGAGAAATGCCCGGTTGTAGATGTCACATCCGGCAGAGGGCTGTGACGGTCGTGGAGGTGCAAATTGGTCGCTGGGCTGCTCCGAGATCACCCGTAGTACGTTTGCCGCACCCCCAGTGGGTGGACGGTCGCCTAACGTTGTTGGCATGGTGCAACTGTGGCTTGGCCTGGAAATAGACAACGGCGAAACATGCATTTACCCCTTGGGCGGCCGCGGATGCGTCTAGAGGCATTTTCTTGCGGCTGACAGCGTGTACCGTCGACGGAACGTGGACCCGTGCGTTATTGCGTGGTGAGACCTCTTCCGAACCCAAAGCGAGCAAGTTGCGCCTCAAGAGCACGCTGCTCGAGTCGATGCATCGTGACGACTGCTTGGCGGTCATGTTGGGTGCACATGCGGGCGGTCGCGTGTACCAGAGGCTCGCGGGTGTGTGCATCGTACTACATGCCGTGTAGTGTAGGAATGCTCGCATGCCAGGCCCGGCTGTCGTTCTTGGAGAGGCAATCAATCGACGAGGGCATGGCAGCCAAATGTCATTTGTCGATCCCCCAGTCAGCGACGCCATCCCGATCCATGGCGGCGGCCTCGACATGGAAATGGAAATGCCTAGCCCGTCCAGCGGCCCACACGGCTGCTGTCCGTCGTCGCGCGGTGGAGTGCTAGACGAATTGGAGGTGTGGGATATGTGTGGGAGCTGACTGCTGAGCTGACTCGACGGCACTGCTGCGCCGACCAGCAGCACCCTGACTGTGGCGTGCTGCCGGGCAGCGTCAGAGACTCAGTGGCAGGTGGTGAGCGTTGCTTTTTTGGACATGAGTGCAGATGCATCGGCGGCGGTACTGTGGGCGCGGTGCATTGATGGAACAATTTGACGGTATCGGGCATGAAGGGGGAGGCGCAACGGTCGAGACTTGATCGAAGCGCTCTTCTGGACCCAACAAGAATCACCATCTGGTCAACTCGACGCACCTGCTTGACCGTCGACGGCCCTAGCACTGCCGTCGTACCGCCCCATTGCGCTGCCTCATATATCCCTCCACGCCATCCCCACCCCTCCATCCCTCCCTCCTGTCTCCCCAAATTCGCGAATCCCCGCGCGGTCGCCCCTAGACTGTCACTGCGACCTGCGACCCAGTCGGCCATACGTCATCCTGCACCCCGTCCACCGCCCGCTCGACACTGTGACATTTCACATGTTGCCCGCCAGAGCCCCGTCCACACGCTTTCCGCCCTTCGACAAGCCCCTGGCCGTGTGGGAAAAGAGATACGCGGTCTGGTGAGTCGAGTGCATCTGCATTGTCCGCAACCTTCATGCTCACACGACTGACCGCTGCCCAAAGCCTACACGCCCACTCTTGAATTCTGCCCACCCACCAAGCAGAAGACTACAGACTGCATACATCTCCGTAGCCAGGCGGCACACTGCGTCCTGTTGCACCCGTCAACACCACGACCACGACCTGGGAATTGCTACCTCTGCATGCCCCGGATTGTCCCGATCCACTCCCCCGACCGACTTCCCCGCTCGCGTGCGCATCCGCACCAGGCTCATCTGCCATTGGCAGTTCACCAACAGTGACATAGCCGATTGGCACAAGACTAAATCGCAAAGGGTCACTTGTCGGACCTATACAACGCTAATAAAGATGGACTCCGCAGCACCTCCAAGGCGCTTCAAGCCCGAGCCCATTGAGACGACGGTTTCATCTTCAAAGGACAAAGCCAGGCAGGAGCCTGTCGAGGCACCCAAGCCGCGAAGGTTTGCGCCTCAGCCCATTGAGACCACTACTTCAAGTTCCAAGGCCAGGCGTAGGTTCGCGCCTGAGCCGTTTGAGACTACAACCACAAGCTCCAAAGCAAACCGGAAATTTATACCCGAGCCCATTGAGACCACGGCCACAAGCTCCAAGGTGCCGCGAAGATTCGCACCCCAGCCCCTGGAAACTACCACCAGGTCGAACCGCCGCTTTGTACCCCAGCCTTTAGAAACGACCACAAGAAGCAGTCGTCAAAAGTTTGCCCGTGATTGGGAAGAGCAAACATCGCCCACTGACAAGTTCAAACCCAGTCCCCTCGGCCCAGCATCGAGAAAGCTACCAGTCAAGAGATTCAGGCCCCAGCTGATCGAGACTGCTCAGAGACACCGCAGAGCGGGTGACGACGAGCCTGTACTGTTTGATTACGAAAAGACGGAAGCGACCCCAGAGTCAGCCATCAGTGCCCGGAAAGCAAGAATACTAGGAATCCCACCTACCCCACCAGTAAACACTCCAACATATGACATGTCACAAAACCCCTTGTTTCTGGAGATTCAACGCAACGCTTCACCACTCAGCAGACGCCGATCGTACTTTAGCTCTTCGCAACATTCTTTCCGCGTGCCAGACTTGGATCCCATTGAATCTTCAGAGTCTGAAGCATCAGCCCCGCCTTCACCCACCGAATCACCTCCTTACAGGCCCGACCACTCCTTCATGTACAAGGAGGCTACCCGGCGGCGGGAGAGTGCCGATGGAACCTCTGCTGGATACTTGCTCGAGCTGGCTGCCAAGGCTGCTGAGAAGCAACTTCGAGAACAAGCGTTGGCAGCATTCCCTAACAGTGATATTCACGAGCCGGTGGCTCACTACGTAGATCGTGACACGGAGGGCTCGGAGCCATCTGTCACAGAGGCGAAGCCGCAGCCAGAGCCACAATCAGAAATCCCATATACTGTCGTGAACTGGGAATTGGAAGCCATGCGGAAATACCAAGCAGAGCAGATTGCCGAGAAAGAGAAGCCGAAGCCTACTGAACACGCAAAACCTGCTTTCAGCCCCTTTGGCAATCCCGCAGGCTTTCTCGATGCTGCCACAGCTAGCAAGTTTGCAAAGGAACGCAAGGACCCCGAATTGGAGCGCCAGCGAAGAGAAGCCCGCCCCCCTATGCTCGGGCAAGACATCAAGTTTCCACGCTGTGAATCCCCCGAGCCATCCCGTTTCGATCCTACCCAAGGATGTGACGCGGTCAGAACAGCCATGTGCTATCTCTCGGAGCAGTCCAAAGCTGCCTCTGAAAAAGGCGAAAGCCTGTGGTGTGGCAAAGGCAATGGAAGACAAACAAGCACAACACCATCCTTGTGGTCTACGGCTAACAGCCGCGCTTCGAGTACTCATGGCTTGTGGGGCGGCTTCTGCGTCAATGGCGGAGACAAATCCCCACGCGGGCCAACTGGTCTCTTGACGCCTAATACAGAGATACCAAATCCCATTTCACCTTACCCCACACCTTCTGCAAGTCTGTTGCCGCCTACTCCTCCAGCGTCTAGCTCAGGTGCAACATTTGCGCCATCGGACTTTGCTGGCATCGATGAAAAGCTTGCTGTCGAGCAGTCGATCGAAGAGGAGTTTGGCGATGATTTTGTTACCCAGGTTTACAATTATCTATCGCTGGGCTATCCGTCCATGGCCCGTCCATTTGACGCGGAGCTCTCCAAAATTTCACACATTCCTATCTCTGAGTTACGACAAGATGACCATCTCGCCAAATCTCGTGGTTACATTCGCCTTGGAAAGGACGGCAACTTGAAGGACTCTGAGATTACTGAAGAAACGTGCATGCGTTGGCGCGCGCTGCGCATTTATATCAAAGAGTGGGCGAGACAACATCCCAATATGGCTGACGAAGATCTCACCAGCTCTTGTCATGGCACTGTTGCCATTAGAAGGGGTAGTTGGGCTCAGTAGCATTTCTTTTGATGCCTGACCCTTGTCCCACTTCTTTCTGCATGAGGTAATCATTGGCGTCTATTTGGCGTCTGTCTGTCGGTCTCTTTGTGGAATCTTGGTTTCTGCATTCGTCGTGCAGGGTTTCATCTGTTGACTCCCTTGTCAACGCTGTGGCTTTTTTTGAACTTGGGCGTAGATCTCATACGGTGTTGTCTAGTTTCCCCTGCTGAGGGTATCAGCATGTTTAGATCCATATCTCTTTTATCTTCTCGAGGGTGTTTGTATATTTTTACCCGAGATCTATTCTTTGTAAAGGAAATTATAATTTCAACTATCCTGTCACCACATGTTGGGCCGTTTTGATTATTCAATGGTGTGGCGTTAACGTTACTTGAATAGACTTGCCTCGCGTCCATGGAACGGTCTGAGAGCTGACAGGGCATTGGTGGGATACGAGGGTACGGGGTGTTGGACATCATTTTCTCTTATCGAATGACTTGACATCCGAAACCAGACCAGCTAGCTTCATTTAGCCATAACTGCTTTTTCTAGTCTTATCGCCAACACCCACACGCCTGTGTCGAGACTTGCACCCTCATTTCCGTACCGACGCGTCGAATACGAGCATGAAAAGCGCCTCATTCTTTGCAATAAAGTATGTTATTCATCGCTCTACTCAGATGTGATCGCCGCACAGCTGGACGGAACCCACATCCCGCTCCCGCCGCCGTCGCCGTCCATCCCGCGGCGGTCGCCGTCCATCCCGCGGTCGCCGTCCATCCCGCGATCCATTGAGGCCCAAGCTTCGTTCACCTCCACACGGCCTTTCTTCACCAATAGGAACATTTCATCGCGTTGGTCTCTTGAGAGATTTCCCGGTATATGGACCTGGAACTCAGTAGCCGGCACATTGATTGCTGCGTCGATCCTCGGCTGGGGAACCCGACCAGTACTACTCATTGCTTATTTCGACTGAATATGCGGGGCCCCTTGACGGGCCGAGGCGTTTCGGTAAGCAGCATCGTATGAGTAGCGGATGCGATCTCGACTTTGATCTGATGAAACAAGAGATGATCACATCTCAAACTTTGTTAGTCGAGTCAGCAGCACGATACTTATATCTCGTTGTTTCTTTCACCTCAACTACACACACACATCTAGTTCGTGTTTGATCCACGGCCATTTTCATGAAGTAGATACACAACTTGAGAGCTTGGTTACTTGACCGGGTCCACGTTGTATATTGTGAACAAGCCTCCAGCAGCGAAATATCTCCAAAATTGACGACCAGGAAAGAACTGGCAATGCAAGTTTTCAATTTTTCGAGCCTCCCACTGGGAGTAGTATTTCAGGCATGGACTATGTGCAGCATCGGTATTGCTGCCATCATGCTACGAATGTCAGTAATTAGAATCTATCGTGTAGATGAGACTAATCGATCACCCCAGCTTCTCCCGATGGCGTCACATTCGTAGACTTGATCTGTTCGCGGTAGATGATTGGATCATGATGACGGTCGTGCCGATACTTTATACTGGGTTGGCGGTAATCTCAACTTCAACTACTACCAGAGACGGAAGCAGCGTGTTTGCTCCAAAAAATGTGGGTGCATACACACAAGATGACTCCAATAAGTGGATCGAAGAATCAACAGCCATTGCTGTTGCTGAGCAGGTATGTTTGTAACATGAAACACGTTAGAAGATAGATCGACACTGGAAGCTAACATGTAGCAGTGCATGCACAATTTGATGTCCGCATTAAAACTATGTATGCTACTGACATTCGCTCGCACGCTCAAAGAAACAGCCGCCACCAAATGGGCCAAGGGTGCAGCAGTATACATCATCGTCGGCTGGCTGGCGGTAGAAGTCACCTTCTTTACGGTCTGTAGCACTGTCGAGGAGTTTGCTATTGCCCATGCAATATTCAATCTTAGCAGCGACGCATTCATCGTCGCGATCGCGATCTCGCTAACCACATCGCTCTCGCTACCAGTTACACAAAAGACTAGGCTAGTCATGTTATTCGGCATGGGCAGTTTTATCGTACGTCACACACGCCATCTTGTTCTAGCCTTTCTCTAGTACTAACGCTTATGCGCCAGGTCATTTCAGCGCTTCTAGCGAAGTTCCACGACTTTACCGGCGCCCATTCCATAACCCGCATACCCTGGTACACACGCGAGGCTTCCTTCGCAGTCTGCGTCGCTAATGCACTTGAAATTTGGTGTCTATTCCGCAGAAACATGTCATTCGTGCATGACACTGCGCAGTCACATGTGCAATGTTCCGAAGCTCCGCAAGACGAGAAAGTATACACTAACAAGAACAATCACCACGGCCACGCACATACCTTCCAAATCCCCAGTCCAGACGACTTGGAATACGAAGAAGCAAGCCACAGTGACCAGGAAAAACAAATAACCAATCAAGGTGAAGCGAATCCCTGGAGGCGCATCATCGTTGACGTACAAGTCGATTTCAAGGTGGAGATTCTAAATGCCAGGTGCATGGGATCTTCTCTGGAGGCAGAGGAGTCAAGAATCGTGACGTGTGAGGGACCAGATGCGCGACATGGAAAAGATTGGTACGGTAGATTTGTTTGATTAGGTGTTGTGCATTTGTTTTTTGGGATGTGTGTGAAAATGATATCCAATCCGGTGGCTCCGTATTCCTTAAATTGATTTGAAACAATTGATTGCAGCTCTAGCTGCCATATCACAATCAGTCTCCAGAAGGGTTGAGTTTTCGTAAACGAAGAAGTATGAATCTGGTTGAGTCTTGGGAATCTTCACTGCGCTTAATGGTCGCGTAGCTGTGCTACTTGGGGATGTCAGGAGTCTCTTTGCATTTGGAGAGTGACTGGTCACGTGGCGGACGTCGGAGAATCACCAACAGATCGCCTGTAGCAGCGAGCCAGATCAGCTAAACGGGCCAGAAAGCCAACAATCCGCGGGCATGCCTTACAAAATATACAATGTTATCCTCGTGTGAGCACCTGTTGGGCCTTCTCCTACTACACTCTCTAATTGCTCCACCATAGCATCAGATCCTAAGAGCTGGTTTGATCCTACTTTTGATCTAATAGATGGTAGCCATACGACGCAGTATACACATCCTACCGTTGAATTTTACAAGAAATAAGGCATGATCAAATGTATATAAATACAACTTACTATCCTACCGAATGTCATTCACAATTATCACTTCACCACTATCCACATTCCACCTCAACACACCCTCATCGAACCCGATCCAAACATCCAAAATGCAACTCTAGCTCGCCTCAATCGTCGCCACCAGCATACTTTTGTTCTCTGTGGCAACAGCCCAGCTCACCCTCACGTGCAGGGGATCCGATATCGTGTTTGGTGGGCCATGCGTTGGTACTACGCAGCCGTGCCAGTGTAACATTGCTGCGATACTGTCTGGTAATGGCCAGGGTGTAAGTGGCATATCTGCATTAGGCTTTGTGGCTATATGGAAAGAGAATACTAATTTGAGGGGTAGGGATGCCTTGCTGTCATCAATACGCAGCCGTTCTTGAAAAAAAAGGGGGAGGGGGGAATTCGGCGGGTTATAAGCGGTATATGTTATGAAGAGTTAAGAGGCTGTAAAGGCTTTACGAAGCTAGAAGAAGGCTTTGGGTTACTGAACAAAAGCTGCTCTGTTGTTTTACTTGCTAGTTGAATTTACGCCAATTTTGCGACCTATAACTCGTATCATATCGTTCCTACAAATAATTCTCTTGGATATTTGTGAGGTGATGAATGATTGAATGTCAGCTTCATCTTAATAAGTCCTCAAGCAAATGAACTAGTTGGATTACGGAGCAGTTGTAGGAGTCGACGGATAGAATAGTATTTATCTGAAGTTGCACGCGCCTGAGCTGTAGACAGGATATTTCTCGCGGGCGCACTTGGAATTTAGCGGTGCAGAAATATGTTTATTTGCTTGTTTAAGCTCAACGTCCTATCTCAAGATCACCCGCTGCAATCGACCAGTATATCAATTAGGGGTTGGCAGATCGCAACCAGGGATCCTTTTCCTTTTCTTTTTACTGCTAGAATATGTTCTGAGAATAGATTGTGGGTAGTGGTTGCTCAGCATGCCTCTCCAAATCAACACTCATTTGCTTTCAATCCATACGAGCGACCCCCTTCATTGATTAAACCACAATAATCAAGACTCATACATTCTCCGCGACCCAATATAACCACAAAGAGCAGCGCATTCACATCCTAAATACAGAACAAGAACTATCCAGCCTTACCTCCGCGTCGTCATATCATCCCCTCTAGCAAACGCCATCCCCCTCCTTCTCCAAACGCCACGCGCTTAAACTCCACCAACCACCACGCTCCATAACTCCATCTACGTCGCCCCCAAAATCATCGCTAAAGAAAACATAACGTACCATTTCTTGTGAAGACATAAATAATAATGACAGAAAGCCGCCAATAACGACCACAGGACCCGTTTCCGCAGCAAGGCACACTTTTAGGCCCCCCAACGACAAACAGAATGTCACTCATCTATTCGCCATCGTATCTCGCATCTGCTAATCGCAGAGGGCCTAAACAATACCCAAGCTACGACAAGCACCACCCTTCTTTTCCGCCCCCCAGCATTTACGGCATGACAGCTACGTTGTGGGGAGAGAGGGGAAAGAGAGGGTGGGGGCGGGGCGCGCTTGTTCGTCGGCCATTTTTATGTGCATGCATTACGGTAACTGCATGCAGGCTTGCCGTTTCTCTCAGCCGCACAAGGGTTGGGGTGGGGACGCGGTTTAGGAATTTTTTTTCTTCCTTTCGGTTAGATGGCAGCGATGGAAATGCAGGTACCTCTTTTTAAGGGATCGCATGCTGGCCAATCGCTTGCGCCACGGGGTACTATTTCGGTAGATGCGGCGAATGCGAGCACGGATAAGGTACAAGTGGAAGTGCTGGAGCTGCAACAAACTAAGAAGCGCCTATGCTGTGTATAATGGCCAGTTGCTTTTCCTTTTTTGTAAGCGATAGGGAGGGCGTACTGTCATCGGCACTTGCAAGCGAGATAAGTTGTAACAAGGTACCAGGCTTCATCCTTGCAAGATATCTTCGCATCTAGGTACCAAGACGCCGGTGCCCCTGCTCTGTCCAACCACTATACCCAACCCGCACATCACTCCTCATGTCTTTGTGGAGTGTGCCGTAATGAAAGCGCCTCTCAGCTCCGCACGAGGCTTGCATACACATGTTGCCCAGACGTGAAGTCGCCTTTCTCGCATCTATCGCATTCACTGCACAGCCATGGACCGCATGATGGCCCTCTTGGGGGCGGAATGATTGAAACAAGGCAAAGAAAACAACTTGATATGAGGGGGGGATGTGTATAAAAGCAGTCGTGAAGTCCGATGGGAAGTAAAAAGCATCACAGCATCGATCAAGCATCTCTTCTCTCCTCTCCATCACTACTACTCCTACCACAAGACACAATTAGGACTTTGTTCTTTTTCTACGCAAAGAAACAGCAAATATGAAGTTCACTCTCATCGCCGCTATTGCCACTCTCGCTACCGTTGTAGCTGGCACACCGACTATGTCTGGATTTGAAGCACGAGAGGCGGAGGCGGAGGCTGTTGGACTTGTTCCTCGTGTAAGCATTTTCTTCTCTTCTCTCTTTCATTCTTCTTGGCTTTCTTCGGGATTTAGAAGCAAGGCACTAACTGTGACTAGGCTTGCCCTGGAGCCCGCTCCGGATGCCGTGTTGATTGGGCCAAGAAGTGCGAGTGGTACTGCCAGAACCGCGGTGGGTTCTTGGTTATGGAGTCGTGCTACTTGGGATTTAGCAGGTGCTGCTGCAGGAAGTAAAGGAGGTAATAGGAGGATGGGATTTTTGAAGGCTTTTATGTGGGATGGATGCGGGACTTTTGAGAGATGTGGTTGTGGGGCTTTTTTGGATTAGTGGAGGTGGCAGTCTCTTCAATTCATGCCTGTTGCAATCTATCATATCCTGGATTTGATCGGCGAAGCTCAATACTAGCTCAGGTATATCGCAATATCATGATTTACAAGACCCGAAAACCCACACCAAGGTATTAGGGAAATCGAGAAAAGTGCTAATAATAGCCAGACTGGGGCCCTTGTGAAAAACCAACACATTCTAGATTTGATGCGAAAAAAGGGCTATAAGCTGTGAACACTGAGTAATTACCGTTGGAGACATACATTTTAGTAAAACATTTCTTTAGCTCAAATCTGCAGGAAATCCTTTTTGAGGTGCGCCGGTCGCACTCGCTACAAATCCCGTACGTCCAGTAGCACGGAACAACTTTAGTGGAATCAAAAATCTCTTTGATGATAGTGTACAATAAATATGCATGACACTTTGGCTAAGTACCAAGACTAAGACAATAGAGATACCATGCAGTTAACATATTATTTAGTGCCAGGATAATTTAGTGGAGCTGTAAGTATCTGGGCGAAGTATGTACAAGATGTCCGCTAACGCACTATGCTTTATTAGAAGTTCAGGTGTCAGTGCCATAACGCATAATCGGATTTTACACAAGCCACTAGCAGGTGGAACCGGTTCTCGGTTCACAAAGTCGTCTTGAACAATCACTAGCTCAGATCTAGTATTAGCCTCAAAAGGGAAAACTTAGCCCCCGTAATGTTCATGTTCTCCATCTCTCGTAAGTAGCCGCGTTCTCCACCGCTTCAAGCTTCTTCTGCTTATCAAATGCGTATTGATGATGAACTTTTCTCTACCAGCTACTCAGTTCAGTGTAGGTCATAGCAAAATGACGCGCTGGTAAGAGTTCGTGCGAGCATATCACTACTCCTGATCAATAAGGTAGATAGCACCTGGGTCTCGAGTGGAGATGCAGTAAAATCACATGTCCCTTGAGGGGGCTTTGAAAATCATAACCCGATGTACGGGCTGACGCATAGTAAAGCCAGGCTCAACGTGACTCGAGCGGCGAACCTTCTAGGCTTTCTTCCAGCAGCAGGCTTACTGGCGCGTCTCATAACACCCTTGTCGCATTCCGAATACTGCAAATACGAAAGAGATCCACAAGATACCCATGGACATCCGCAGACATTGCACCATGCGTATGTTGACAAAACTTACAGGCATCGTACGTGGTTCTGTACCGTTTTAAAAGCGCGGTACTAGCCGGTTATCCCAAGGAATAAGTTGTATAGCATTGCCTCTGCGGGCCGTGATACGGCACGCGGCAAGGTGCCGGGATCCTAATGATTACTATAATCCTTGCCGCACATCGATTGAAACAGCGCTATGAGCGGCATTGGCCGGTCCATCTACGGGGACCACCACATTTCGTGGCCCGACTATCGTTCAATCTTGGCCTATCTATCTCGCAGTAAAGATAACCCTGCGATCGATATGCAGCCCGTTTTTCAGAGATTGGCGAATTCCGCAAGCCAAGACAGCTCGTTGTTATACAGTACCATGTCGAGCCGTGGACCGTGTACTATATCAATGCGTTATTCGCAATATTGTGTACATTTGCACGCACCCCCATGGCGTCAGTAGACTTAGAT